GTTCTTCGTGATCTGTGAATATATAGTGTAACAGGATCAGCCACACCCTCTACTGGGACAGAGTAGTGTAGTGTAGGAACAGCATCAGGTGATGAATAGATTGATATCGGACAAGATGGAGGAAGAGAATAATTTTTGTCACCAAAATTGTCAATTTCATCTTGATGAAACTGTACAATAAATTTAATTTATGATTGATGCACCATAATTACTTTGACAGGTTTCATGTGAGGCTTAATAGTCCATCCAGTAAATGGCTCATCTTGTTCAGCATCAAACTTTAATCCAATGTAACCATCAGGAGACGCAATGCGAAAGTATTTATGAGGTCCTCTTTTAGCTAGTGAATGTTCTTTCTTGATAAACTATGCATAAAATATCTTTAATATAAAATAATTTAATGGTGGCTCACCTCAAGAAGTGTGTTCAAATTTTTAGCAGCAGTAAAAGTTTGCTAATAGTAGCATATGCATGAAGTGTATCTGCTTCATTGGGTACTTTAGTTTGACTAGAAGTAGAAGGACCACCGTCATAGACAACACTATCTTGTCGATTGAGTGATACCACTCTATTATGCTGATTCCCACGACATGCCTGAACAATGAAAACTTTTGGTTTCCCACCAAGCGAGAGGCAGCTGCTGGCAGAAAAATATTGAAAAATATCGTCAAGTTTCATTGCTTGGCCATCGGATGCATAAACAATGTTTCCTTCATCTCCATGACTCAGTATAACGACAAAGAAAGTACAAAATTCTGAGTGATCCTTCTGTTGATAGTGTCTTAGTGTTGATTCTAACTGTTCTTTTGTAACGTTCCTCTTCAATTCTACTGTAAAATTAAGAAAATTGCCGAACAGTTCTTCTAGCTTAGTGGCATCTTGGTCGCTCCCAACCCTCTCAGCTAGATTACCTCCAGTGAACTCAACATTGTTGATAATGAGACAGTGTCCTATTGGGTTGGCATCCATTGGATAACAGCCTGTTAAGGAAATTATGCAAAAATTGGTCAAAAAGAAAGTGAACTATTTACATACTTTTTTTGTTTTGTCTATCCATTCTTTCTGCTCTAGACAAAACACTTCAGTCTTCCCAACTATAATAATCAAATTCATTGTCCAAGACATACCATATTATTGACACTTCATGATTAACAATTAGATGTGTGTGGTATCATTTACATAAGTGACAATGAATAAATGATTTTCACACATCTATAATAAACAAAATTTCTGACTAGTGCATCCCTTGAACTTTGCCCATTATTTTGACATATTGTTCATGTAACGATTCTATGTACTCATCAAGCTGCTGCATTGCTTTGGCCTCTGATATTTTATAAAACTTGATGCAATTCGATATCAGCTCAAATAACTCTGGCGGTATGATCAAGACATCATTCGGTGCTACCAAATGACATTCCACCATTAGTATGTTAACATGTTCTATTAACTGTCTATCCACTTCAATAGCAGCTTTTACTTTTTTGAGTTTAGCCATTGATATAAGCCTATCTGTTACAGAATCAGTAAGTGATTTCCCACGAGCGCTATGAAAATTAGGTAGCCTTAGTGTTGTCCGCAGTGCCAGAGCTGTTCCAGCTGTTTCCATGAAGGTGGCAT